ACACACACACACACACACACACACACACACACACACACACACACACACACACAGATCTAGGTCGCAGCTGTTCACTATAATTTCTTTTTTTCACCTCCTCTGGATTCTATCACATCTCTCTCCTTCTCTTCCTCACGGTTCATTTTACCTAATTTCTTTTCTCCGTGTCACGCTTCTCTCCTCTTTGACCTTGTAGCGAGGTCAGAAGAAAAGGAAAAATCACACGTGTGTTACAGACAGACTGGTTCATGGCCACAAACACCTGGAGTTAAATACACATACATTTGACACATCCAAAGGCCCGACCCTAACTCCTCTTTCAAACCATCTGTCTTCTCTGTCAAAAATGTAAACACTGGAATCCACGAAAGGGGGACCTTTGACTTTTAGGTGCAGATGTGCAGCTGAGTCTTTTCCTGTCGAGTTGGTTCTTGTATATTATGCCTATATTATGTATATGTTATTATATTATGGAGAGGCTGTTTGATTTCTTCGATGTAAAGCTCTGAGAACTTTTCGCTGCACTCCACAGCAAACACTATGTTGCTTAACTTGTGTTTCGGAGTTTTGTTCTTGGGTTCTTTTGTCTGAGGTGTTGTTGTGATTTGGAGCTATATAAAAAGAACTAAATTGAACTAAATTAAAAGTCTTTTTTTGTGCCTCAGTGCCTGCTTGATTTTGAGAACTGAAGGAGTAGTTGGACCTGGAAATGGCTAATGATAACAGACGTAACAAGTGGATATTATTATGACATGAAGATCAGCAGCAAATACTAGATTCTGGTTCTTCTTCTGCAGTTTTATGTGAGGCTGAGAGACAATGTTATCCAAATACACTGGATGAAAAATATGCAGTCAGCGTCTGCCGTGATGCGGAAGCTACAAAGGTCTGTCGTGGTGAAGAGAGAGCTGAGCACACAAGCAAAGCTCTCAATTTACCAGTCGATCTTCATCTTCCTCTCACCTGTGGGCACGAGCTCTGGGCAGTGACTGAACATCGCTGATCGAAAAATGGTTGGGTCTTAGAGATAGGGTGAGGAGTTCAGTCATTTGAGAGGGGCTCAGAGTAGAGGCGCTACTCCTTGTCAAAAGAAGGCAGTTGAGCTGGTTCGAGCATCTGTTTAGGGCACCTCCTGAGTGCCTCCTGAGTGACTTGTTCAAGGCATGTCCTAACTGAAGGAGTTTATATCAATATCGCTCTCATATCTGTCAGTCTGGGAACGCCTCGGTGTTCCCCTGGATAAGCTAGAGGAGGTGACCTGGGAGAGGGAGGTCTGGACCTCTCTGCTTGGGCTGCTGCCCCTGTGATCCAGCCAGGATATATGGAAGGAAATGGATGGATGGGTTATTGACGGATTTATCGATGGATAGGCTAAAACTGGAAAAGTCTTGTAGGTTTCGACATTTTTCTGTGCATTTCTTGCATTTCCAGGTTCTGGTCGTAATGGCTACGCCAAAGCTGTGGATGGGGAGGAAGGAGGGGGCGAAGGTGAGGAAGAGGAGGAGGGAGGAGAGGTGGATGGAAGAGGGGACAGAGAAGAAGGAGGAGGTGAGGAGAGTAATGCGGAGTGGGATCAAGAGCTGGATGGAGAGGACGAAGGAGGTGTGAGGATGACAAGAACAGACACGCTTCACTCGACCACAAGTTCAACAGGAACGCAGAGAAAAAGAGGACAACACGCTAAGAAACAGGTGAGAAAACACGCTAAACACGCAGGTGGAAGGTCTGACGGCAGGTTTTCAGTTATAATATGGAGCTGCTGACCTGAACCATTTTTGGAAAGGCAAAATAAAAGACAATAAAAGAGTTACCAGTGTTGATGATGCTATTGATGACATGCTTGATGTCACTTCCTCCTCAGGTGCAGGGCACTAATCAGGTCCAGCGTGCTCCCCGGGCATTATATTGTCTGAAACTCAACAACCCAATCAGACGGGCTGCGCTCCATATTGTTGAGTGGAAGTATCCTTTACTGTGACCGTAAGGAGAGGTTAATTAGTCCCAGGTTAAAAATGACTTTATTGCTTTTTTTAATGTTATTTTCTGCCATATACTTATAATGCTGCTTAAATTTTCTTTTTTCTTTTTTCTTTTATTGGATAGATTATTGTCGAGTGTCAGTTTATAATCAATAACACAAACAAAATGTATATATTAATAGATTATTTTAACTGCACAGAATTTCGGGGTATAATTGGGCTGCATAAAGGGCTAATATATAATTATACTCATCCAAAAGTACTTTGTTAGAGTCCTAGAATTGAAATATAGAGCTGGACATCTGCAGAACAGGTCCTCCTTAATATACCTCCAGAGCCAGCAGGTGACAGGAGAAAATCTCATGTAATGCCGATGATGTTACACGATTTATAGGGCTGACATTTAACCACTCCAATGTCATGGAGTGGTTAAAATTGAGTCCTCGTGTCAAAAACAAAGCTTGTTTTTAGTTGTTTCCTGAATGTAACTCAGGCCATTTGACATCTTCATCCTGTTGGCCATCTTTGCAAACTGTGTCGCCCTGGGAGTTTCCAAACCATTTCCTGAGGATGACTCCAACTCCACCAACCATGATCTGGTGAGATAAGACACACAGTCACAAACACACTGGACTCAGGTAGTTAAAATTTCTCATGTCATGATCAACCATGGAGACCTTGTAGTCTCACATCAAACAGAAACATGGAAGTTTGGACTTGGTGATATTTATTAGTTTCCTGGAGCTGTACTGTGCTTTCCCTCTGGTTCTAGTCTTCATGCTAAGCTAAGCTAAGTTCTCCTCGGTCAGTCTCTGTGGTGGGAATGAAAGTGAAATGCATGACATGCTAAATCTAAGCTCCAAAGAAGGATTTACCATATTTGGACTACAGGGAGGACTGCTAAGCAATCAACCAATCACGCAAGCTTGGATAGAAGCAGCATCCATAAACTATATGGGTGCAATGCACAGAAATACATAGCCTTCCAATGATAACACTTTTCACCAAAACTGAAATAAAACTACTTGGATGAGCTGCATATGACACAAGTACATGCAGGGTTTTTTCATAAACACAGTTCAGAGGTCCAGTTTAGCAGATATAAGATACTAAAGTTGCTTATATCTGCACACCTGTCAGAAAATCCAAACAGATGAGTTTCAAAAACACCTGCTATATGTTTGTTATGTGTTTGCTTGATCGTTCGCTTTAGAGGTATTTTTGTTGCAGGTTCTAAACGTATTTCTTTCCATGGCTGAATTCAGAGACTACGGACATGGACTGACTTTTAGAGACAGCCTCATGTGGCCATTAGAAGAACTTCAGTTTTTGGCATTTGATTTAATACACGGGGAAAACAGCGTGCAAGCGCAATACACGAACAGTGCTCAGTTATTAGGTTCATGGGTGATTTACAAAAGTTGCACTGTTTTCTAAACACAGGCAGAGTCAATCTATCATCATCATTATTATTGTTATTATTGTTATTGTGGTTATTATTATTGTTGTTGTTGTTGTTGTTGTTGTTGTTAAGCAAAAAATGTGTTTTTTTAAAATCAGAAACTTGCAATAAATTGTGTGTTGCAAATATTATTAAATTAGTTTGCATTATTTATTTCTCCTCCCTATATTTTGCACTTTGAGACAGGACCTACGCCCAGAAATACACATGCAACAGTGTCAGTAGAAAAAAAGTCTCTGGGTTTCCTTTCACGCAGTCCTGTCACTGTGCTCTTTTGTAAATACTGACTCTACTTTTTTTGTGTTGAGTGTGTTTTTGCCCCAGAAGTTGCTCCGTGGTTTGTGCACTGATTGCAGATTCAGCTCCACTTTGTGTGTTGCTCCTGTGGTAGAAGTCATAGGTCATGGATGCTGATGCAGTAGATGACTGACAGGTTTGTGATCAGATCTGAGGAGTTTCTGCTCTGATGGTTTGGCTTCTCCTCACTCTCCTCTTTATGTCTGCATCTCTCGATCTTCACTTACAGTTGAACTGTACTCGCTGTTCAGGCAGCCACTTTGTGCTGAAGTGACATCTCTGCCTATTTCGACAAACACAAATCACAGTAACTACATGTTTAGCCAAGCGGCGTGAAAGGAGCTCAGGCTGATATTTATGGATCCACTGTGGAAACAGAGTTTAATGTTCAGTGGTCTGTGGTAGAGATAAACCTGCAGAGGATTGCTGGCTGAATCTGCAACAGCACTCTGCTGCTTTTTATTTTCAGTTTGTTGCTTAGCTGTTCAGCTACAACATTATTATTATTTATTATTGTTTTGTAGCTTCTGAAAGTGGAAATAGGCTCAACCTAATATCACAACAGAGCATGTAATAGACACCGGTCCACCGTTTTGGAGAAGCAAAGCGTCTCCACAGATTTACACAAGCAGCATGAAAGGGAAAACCGCGGGAAACCCTTTAAACAGCATTATTAACAATTTACATCTATATATATTTTAGGTGCCTCAGCTTAATCGTTTCCTGCAATTAAGGACCCTGGAATATACTTCATACGTTTTTTGCTCACTACCAACTTTGTGGCTTTAAATATATTATCTCCCCCTGCTGGTAATGCAATTTCTGCATTCATTTCATGTTTTGGAGAGGCAAAGCATGAAATGGACTCAGTGGTGTCCCGTGTCTATTGCACGCTTTGCTGCGGTACTGGGTTGGTTTGCTAACAACTGAAACTTACTGATGATATTTGAACGCATTTGTTAAATGCTTTCAGAACCTAGATGTGGATTTGTTATTATTTTTGTCATAAAAACTGGGTTATTTATACTGTGTCACAGATACTGTCTACAACTAGTGAAGCATGAAAATGCTTCCTCTCGCCTGTCGCTGCAAAGTAAATAATGGGGGGAAAAGTAATACAGTCAAACATGTATTTGAAATGAAAACATTTTGTGTGTGTTTAAGAGAGATTTAGAGTTGATAACTGCCAGCAGAAAAAAATGAGCCCTGTACATAAGTGTGTTCGTGTTTCTTTGTGAGGACAGGTCTTAAAGTGAAGGTCATTTGTGTGATATTGTGGCTGTCGGAGGCTCAAGAGTGTAGTGGTTTACACATCCGCTGGTGGAGAAATAAATCCTTTGGGGTTGCGTGAGGAGGGGTTTAAAACATCTGCCACATCAAACACGTGGATCTGCCCACTGTGGCGATGTCGTGTGAATAAGGGACCAGCTGAAAGTAGCTTTTTTTGTGACTGTTGGTGGGTTAAGATTTTAAGTTTTGGGCTGAAGGTCAGGTAGGACTTGAGCTTATATCGAACAATTTGAACGATAATGCCTCCATTTGATAATGATCCTCATAAGTGTAGGAAGATCAGTGTGTGTGTGTGTGTGTGTGTGTGTGTGTGTGTGTGTGTGTGTGTGTGTGTGCGTGTGTGTGTGTGTGTGTGCGTGTGTGTGTGTGTGATTGGTAATTCTCCGAAATACTCACAAATTCACCACGTCCACGTTTACCGGGTTACGCACACAGACATGGAACATATTATGTGTTTCAGGAACAAGTGGAGTATGTCTTCCTCATCATCTTCACCGTGGAGACCTTCCTAAAGATCCTGGCCTACGGTCTGGTGATGCACCCCAGCTCCTACATCCGCAACGGCTGGAACTTGCTCGACTTTGTCATCGTCATAGTTGGGTAAGCAAATCAAAAGATGGTTCTCACCGTAGGCTATTAGGATCTGTTGGTTCCCTGTGTTCTGGGATCCTTTTCTTTGTTGCTCTCTGCATGTTGCAGCAGTAGATCTGATCTGACTGCAGAAGACTTTCAGTAAATCAGGCCCAGCGGTGATGTCATAGTTTCACTCAGTTTGCAGGTTCTGTCTTTTGACCTCTGATTTCTACACAGTGGACTGAACTCATCCAGGAAACCTAAGCAGCCTGATGCGTTGCAGGAACACGCTGTTTAACCCTGAACCTCTGGTACTCCACAGCTGCAGAAATGGTTCTTCTTAGACATCTGAGTGATGTGTTGTCATTTTAGTTGCTGATGATTTTGCCCAGAGCTGAGGGTCCTGGGTTTGAATCCACCAGATGCACGGGCCCTGCTTTGTGGGTATCATCCAGGGTGCCACACCTCTCACACTATGATAGAGGATGGGTAGAAAGATGGAAGATTTGCTGCAAATTTTGCTGTGTTGCATCATGTTGAATCAAATTTTATTGTGCAGTATCTGTAAAATCTGCAGCATATATTCTGCCTTTCTACAAGCCAAAAGAAATGGCTGACTTAGATTACTGATTTTTGAATAGTTATTATTACATATGGTAAATACAGCCCAGTAGTTTAACAGGTTGGCAGCAGCTCTGAGTCATTTCCTCCGATCAGTCGCTGACTGAGATCACACTCAGTCCTGCAGGTCCTAACCTTGGTTCTCTTTGTTATTTCGTGTCCTTGTTGCAGGACGCTGATGCGACTGGATGTCCTCAGGGTGATAATGGTGATGATGATGATGATGATAAACCCTGTTGTCATGGTAACACAGCCTGAGGAAGCTATGTTCCACTTTACAGTCAGGATGCTATATGTGGGACACTCAGGAGTTCTTGTAGGAGTTCAGTGTTTGATTTGTGTTCTGTCTCTGAAGCTGGATTTACTTTAAAGGCAGTTTTCATTTTAAAGACATGTTCTGTAAAAAAAAAAAAGTTGCTTCTATTGGATGTTTTATTGATAGCTGTAGAAAGATCGTGGATTTCAGCGAGTCTAAATGTGTTGAAGGATCCCAGGGGAGGTTAAGGGGGGTTATCGCAGGTTCATAGCTTTAATATTTTTTTTACTCTGTTTACTCAGGAAGTAATTAATCTGCCTCAGCTGGAAATAAGCCACATCTTGATCTAATCTGTTTGTGTGGTCAGACATTCTTATTTGGGGTTTCCTCCTGTTCCAGTTTGTGATCATCTTAATGCAGAATCACAAACTTCCCTCCAGCTTGAGGGACCGTAGATGGAGTGGCTTTATCAGACTGGGCCTCCAACAGGCACAGGTGGTGTTTTGCAGCCGTGTGTGAAGCAGCAGGATGGCACTCCCCACCTCCTGGACTGAAGGTTGGATCCAAACTTAAGCATTTTCAGTCCTTCCAGTGGAGTTTAATCGCACAGTTTCAGAAATAATCTTTGTCCGTACAGTATGTCTGCAATTGTTTGTCACATGATGATTAATGGGTCACGGTTCACCCAATCTGAGGCTTCTCTCTGCTGGAAAAAGGTGAACGTCCACCTAACTTCCTGCCACCTGATCAGCTTCTGTGACAGACGTTTGATGGACTGCATATCTTAACAACATGAACTTTGAAGGCACAGTCGGTCCAGTCAGTCAGTCTTTGTTTTCTTCCTTGGTGAATTTCAGTAAAGTAAACTAAATAAAGGTGGCAGATGTGTAACCTATTTAGGCAATACGAGAACTACAGGATAGTGCTGCTGCTGTCTTGTCTATAGAGGTTACAGGTGAAAATGGACCCTGAGGTGAGCACGATAACTCCCTTTATCTGGACCTCTTTCAATTTAAGGTTATGCTATTTGGCCTGAAAGATAGACCTGCAATGTTCAAAAGGCTGATGGGACGAGCTCTGGGGGAGTTGAATGGTGTCATCTGGTTGTTTTATATATATATATACGTATATATATACATGAATGACATCATTGTTTTCTGCAGCTGCTGGAAACAACACTTGTGTGATGTTCAAGGTATACTGGTCAAACTCAGATGTTGGTCTAACTGAGATCAACTGAAGCCCACATTTCAATGAGCTAGATCATAAAGGCTGATGTTCCTTTTGTTCTTCTGATGTTTTCCGCATAGCTTGTTCAGTGTTGTCCTGGAGACAATGACTCATAAGTCAAGTGGCGAGCAAGCAACAACCCATCACATGCCTGGGAAACCTGGAGGTCTGGATGTCAAAGCTCTAAGAGCCTTCAGAGTCCTGCGGCCCCTCAGACTGGTTTCTGGAGTCCCCAGTAAGTTTCCTAGACTTTGGCGTGGACTCACTGTGTGCATGGTCAATGGTTGTCCACATGTTCAGCTGTGTGTGTCTATCAGGTCTGCAGATTGTGTTGAACTCCATCATGAAGGCGATGGTTCCTTTGCTTCACATTGCTCTGCTGGTTCTCTTCGTCATCATCATCTATGCCATCATCGGTCTGGAGCTCTTCATCGGACGCATGCACAGGACCTGCTACTATATAGGAACCGGTATGATCGAACACACAATGCAGGACACCTTCACACAGATCCTGCTTATTTTTTGATGACTGTAGAAGCTAAAGCGTTCTTCCTGTTAAAACTTAGTTCTTCTTCTCACTGTTGCCAAGTGATTTCTCAGAAGGGGTCGATTAGATTTTGAGGCTTTCTCTCTGCTCTTGTAGGGTCTTTACCTTAAATACAAAGCGCTTTGAGGTGACTGTTCTTGTGATTTGGGGATATAAAAATAAAACTGAATTTAAATGGAATATTCCTCAGATAATTATGTGGAGGATGACCCGGTGCCGTGTGCGTTTGCTGGTCATGGCCGTCAGTGCATCATAAATGGCTCAGAGTGTCGGGGAAGGTGGGCTGGTCCCAATGGAGGAATCACAAATTTCGACAACTTCTTCTTCGCCATGTTGACCGTGTTCCAGTGCATCACCATGGAGGGATGGACTGACGTGCTGTACTGGGTAAAATGCATTGTGGTGTCATATTTACCAGCCTGTCCAAAAACATAAGAGGTGCTCACTTTTCATTGTGTCTTCTCTCTTTCTGTTGTGTCTGTGCACAGATGAACGATGCCATTGGGTTTGAGCTGCCGTGGGTGTATTTTGTTAGCTTGGTGATTTTTGGCTCCTTCTTTGTTCTCAACCTCGTCCTGGGAGTCCTCAGCGGGTCGGTCATCTCCAAACACAAAAGCTGTTCACATATATATATATATGTGTGTGTGTGTGTACTTAGGCAAATAAAAGGACACTTTAGATGCATTTAATAGTGTAAAAACCTCATTCTTATCTGAGGCATTATTCAGGGTTAAACAGCTGAAGTTTCTGATATAGTTCAAATAAGTTTAAGGACACATCTTATCTTAAATATATTTTTAGCCCCGATTATGAATACAGGCCTAACTTGTAATAGCAGTGGTAATATTTTATGTTCTCAACACTCATCATTGTTCAATATCTGCTTAAGTGAAGCATCTGAACCCTTCTTCCCGTGCTGATGATTTTTGAGGAGTTTTAAATGTCTGAATCGTTGTGGATGCTGCAGAGAGTTCAGTAAGGAGAGGGAGAAGGCAAAGGCTCGTGGTGATTTCCAGAAGTTGCGAGAGAAGCAGCAGATGGAGGAGGATCTGTGTGGGTACATGGACTGGATCACTCAGGCTGAGGACATGGATGAACTGGACGAGGACGGAAACCCACGTAAGGCTTGGGCACACTATGGTTTCTTCTTGGTGGACTGTCGTGGGTTTCTTTACTCAGATTGGCTCCTTTAGGTCTCCAGTGTGACATTTGGTCCCAAACATTAGTTGTGATCATATTATTATCTACCTCTGCTTGTCTGGAGTCAGGGGGGAGGGGGCGGTCTCACCAAAGTAACCCAGGTGTCCCCACCTAAGACCCTCTTCCAGCAGCTCTGGGCCTCAAGCCAAAAAAGGACCTAGGATACCTTGGAACATGTGGCATCCTAATCACTATGCAGAAACTGCCTCAGCTGTCTTATTTTAATGGTCATTTTCACACAAATCGTTTAGATGACTGAGTCCAATCAGAGGAGCTGCAGGAGCCCAAATACAGTACAGTGGCTTTAAATATGGCAGCTCCCTGTGTTTTTTAGCAGGTTGTTTCAAACCTCCACTGAGCTGTTAGATGGAAACTGTTTTCTGTATCCTGCTCTCCAAACCATCAGTTTCTCTGCTTGTGTCTTTATCTCAAGCACAACAGCAGAAACCAAACGAGCCAGAAATGTGATGTAAGGTAGATGCTTGTTAAGCCTTTTGTTTGGTTGCTTGGTTTGATTGTAAGTTTCAACATTAAATAACATTTGTGTCAGAGAAAATATCCACATTTCACCTCACTGTAAAACAATATAAACAGAAAATAAGCACTACGAATATATATTTATTTCTTAACACATTACTTTGGGAATTCTTGATATTTTCTTATTTTTGCTCGCAGCAATAACTTTGAATTTATTTGATTTGTCATTGTCAAAAAGTTAGTTTTGTGTTTGGCTTGGCTGCCACACGAGGCTGGCGCTCTCTCTGTATTTCATTTTAAGCTGCTCATTTTAATAATAAATGTTTTTCTCTCTCAGGGCCATCTCTGGGCGATCTGGCTGATAAGAAGAGAGGGAAGTTTGGATGGTTCAGTCACTCCAACGAAACTCATGGTGAGACACACATGCAAACACTGTTGTGTCTCCATCACATCAGAGGATTTTTAGTGCCAGAAGTGACCTTGTTAGGATAAGAAGGTGCAACGTCATGAGCTGAGGCTAGCAAGCTATGTTAGCAAGCTACATTTCTTATATTTAAGAGTGCAGAGAGAGACTGTGGAACTTCACTCATTGTTTTGATGGTTTTACCACACAGCAGCCCAAGCAGCTGTTACCTATTTCTATTAAAATTCTACAAGACACCAGCACAACAAACATGGTGGAGAGGTCCAGTTTAGTTACCTGAACTGTGTCAGCTTCAACACACCTGTCAATGCAACGACATCCCCCTTTAACCCTCACCGATGTCCAGATGTGCGAGTCATAATAAACTGTGAAACTAGCCACACAGGCCAAAAACATTTTTTACCAGAAGAGCAGATACAGTAAAATCCAACAACAGCTGGAGAAGGTATCTGTCTGACACAGGGACCTACATTATGGAGATTTATTTTTGGTTCCTATAATAAGGTGGCTGTGTTAACAGAATGATGCACCAGTACGATTAATAGAAGCACAATCACACACATAATATGTACAGTATATATGAGTTGTGTTATCACAGAGACAGCTCTGTGCAGTTTGTACATCTCTCAGTCTAAATGCAAACGTCATCCTCGCTGTCCCTGTAAAATATCTGGGTCTCTTTCTGTCCTCATATTTATCTGACCCTGTTTCTGATCAGACTTACTCTCCGAGCTCGTTCAGCTGGATTCACCTCAGTATAGATTCACTGAGGAGGTCGGGAAACGTCAGCTTTCATCAAACGGAGAGGGAAAAATTTGTGAGATATACTGTATGACTAAGATATGAATATTTTATACTTTATATTTTTGTTTGCATAACAAATAAAATATATTGATAGTGTAGAAATTAATAAGTGCCACATTTTTTAAGAAGCAGGATTGTTGACTTGCATTGATCATTTATTAATATTTGTCTGTTTGTGTGTGTTTCAGCGAGTCTTCCTGCCAGTGAAACGGCGTCTGAAAACACAGAGAACATCGATGAGGAGCACACCAACTGCTGCCAGGCCTGCTGGTAACACACACACACACACACAAACACGCACACTTTCAGTTCGTACATCACATGATTCTTGCTTTAGTGCCCCCTTCAGGAACAACTTCACATAAAAACAAAAAATGTTATGTTTCAGTGCTCAGATGATGAAGATTGGCTGCTGGTGAGTTCACTGACCTTCAGAGGTTCAGCAGACTAAAGTCAGCACGTTAGACTCACCTTCACCTGAACGACTCTCTTTCTTTGCCTCAGTCGGACGTTACGTCGCTGGAACCGAGTCTGTCGCAGAAACTGTCGCACTGCCGTCAAATCCGTAACTTTCTATTGGCTGGTTTTGCTGCTGGTCTTCCTCAACACCTCCCTCAGCGCCTCTGAGCACTATAACCAACCAGACTGGCTGACTCAAGTCCAGGGTAACAAGAGCCTCCTTCTCCTCCACAAGAGGAACGGGTCGTAGAGACACTGATATTTCAGTTTGAAATGTTGTTGAGCAACATTTTCTGTGTCCGTGTCTCTGTTTGTGCAGACATTGCCAACAAGGTGCTGCTGTCTCTCTTTACGGTGGAGATGTTGCTGAAGATGTACAGTTTGGGTCTGGCCCATTACTTTGTGGCGTTCTTTAATCGTTTCGACTGCTTTGTGGTGTGCGGTGGCATCGTGGAGACCATCCTGGTGGAGCTGGAGATCATGCCTCCTCTGGGGATCTCTGTGCTGCGCTGCGTCCGTCTGCTGCGGATCTTCAAGGTGACACGGTGAGAAAACACACCCGAACCACCCGATGCAGGTCACACGACTCGTCACGAGTCATCGCTGAGGTCACTCTCTGTTTGCTCAGGCATTGGACGGCTCTGTCCAACCTGGTGGCATCGCTGCTGAACTCCATGAAGTCCATCGCCTCGCTGCTGCTCCTCCTTTTCCTCTTCCTCATCATCTTCGCCCTGCTCGGCATGCAGCTGTTCGGAGGAAAATTCAACTTTGATGAAACGCAGACCAAACGCAGCACATTCGACGCTTTCCCGCAGGCGCTGCTCACCTGTTTCCAGGTAGCACTGCAACCACTTTCTCCCAGTGATGTCACGACGTGCAAGGAGCGGGCGCCTCACGATGACTGTGTGTTTAGATCCTGACAGGTGAGGACTGGAACATGGTCATGTATGACGGCATCATGGCATACGGCGGCCCCGTGTTTCCTGGGATGATCGTCTGTATTTACTTTGTCATCCTCTTCATCTGTGGTAACTGTATCCTTGAATCCTCCTGATGCACCAAAGTTCTCAAAGCTGCATTTGTGGTAATACATGTATTTGTTGTTTTAGAGGCATCTTTCAATTTCCACAATACTTAATACCCCTCCTTGAGTTTTAGTGAAACAATGATCTCCTATTGAGTGATTGTGCTCAAGGTGAAGATCATCTTTGTTGTTTTATGAGTAGTAACCTGTGAAAACATCAGCATCCTTAACGAGCATCAGACATCCTGCTCAACGTCTTCTTGGCTATCGCCGTGGACAACCTGGCAGGAGGAGACAGTGATGACAAGAAAAAAGAGTAAGTGATGGACGGAGGACAAAAGGAAAGAGGGGAGGAAGAAATAAAAGCTAGTTGTTGACTTCTGACTGCACTGTTGTATTTGTGTCTTCAGTAAGAAGGAGGAGGGAGCAGAGGAGGAAGCTACAGAAGAAGAAGTGAAGGTGAACATCAAACTCCGACTGTAATGTTTCAGTTAACTATCAGCGATCTTTTTCTTTGAGGGTTGTTTGTCTTTTCAGGTCGATGTTGATGAAGACACTGAGTATGAAGAGGAAGAGGAGCTTCCTGAAGGAGATGAAGGTCAGTCCTCGGCTGAGCCCATCGCCACATTTCAAGTTTAGCCGAGAAGATGTGACGCTGAAGTGACAGGAAAACTAAATTCACCATTTTAATTGGATGATAACTCAGAAACGACTGTAAACAAGAAAAGTCACAAGCTTCACAGCGCAATCAAAGAACATTAGTTTACTCCCCACTGAGGCTTTTTAAAGAGATCTTTAAGGAACCATTTTAGAGAAAGTCCTATGTGAAAGACACAGGGACAACAAGATACCCATTTTTAGTGGTTCTTTGACAAATTTACAGTTTTAAATCAGATTACTGGAGGAGATTTAAGTGCTATTTAATACCAGTTTAAAAGGTAGCTGGATCCTGGATAGAGGGAAGATATAGTATTGATTTATTTATCATTTATTTAAGTTGCAAGTTGTGCGAGAATTCGCTGTAAAGGTGCCCAAAGAGGACCGAACACCCTCCTGCACACAGTCGGCTGTCTGTAGTGTGAGTCAACAGGCTGCTGAGACCTCTGCTGAAACATTAGGAAGGTAGATTAAAAATATGTGGGACAAGTTATAAAACTAGATCCACCAATCAGACAAAGAGGAGACGGGAGATCCACCAATCAAGCTGCCTGACTCACTCTGTCTGTCCAGTCCAGGTCCCAGCATTTCTTCCAATGACATGAACTGATATTTATTTGGTGAAAAATCTATTTTCAAAGAAAACAGCTTGTTTACATTTGATGTCGTGTTTTTTATGTAAGTAAGTAAAAGTAAAATTTATTTATATAGCACTTTTTAAGACAAGAAGCTATTACAGAGTGCTTTACATGGGAGTATAAAAACATATAAAGTAAAACAACATATTTCACACGAACATTACCCAAATGCCTGTTTAAACAAATGTGTTTTAAGCTGTTTTTTAAAAGAAGCCACAGAGTCGATGGTGCGTAGCGGGGGAGGTAAACTGTTCCACAGTATTGGAGCCAGGCTTTGAAAAGCACGATGCTGCTTCGTTTTTAAACGGGTCCGTGGAACAGACAGAAGACCGCTATCAGTGGATCTAAGAATCCGCTTTGGAGAGTAAGGTTGGAGAAGCTCAGCGATATAGGTAAAAGTGAGGATTTTAAACTTAAATCTGTACCCAACTGGAAGCCAGTGCAAGGATTTTAACATGGGAGTGATATGGGAGACTTTATTACTGTGGGTTAAAAGCCTGCAGCATTTTGGACCACTTGGAGGCGATTTAAGGAAGCCTTAAACAGACAGGAAAAGAGTGATTTACAACAGTCTAACCGGGAGGAGATAAAGGCGTGGACAAGCATCTCCAGTTCAGCATGGAGACAGTGCTGCATCATGGGGTTTTTTCTATGACAATGATGCAGCTCTAGTTAAGTGCAAAACAAACCTTTTTTCTGGATGAATACATATTGCTGTATTTTTATTTTTAGCTTTACAATAATCCCTCCAATAATCAGTAAATAAAACACGAGTGTAATATAATCAATATGACAAATGTCTGAGAATATGTTAACAAGAACAGTAACACAGGAGCTTCAAGTGATGAACCAGGAAGCTGCTATCAGAGACTTTAAAGGTGATGAAAACAGAGGCTCAATGTATGAATATTTAAATATCAGTACCATAACATGCAACTATCCAGCTCTCAATCACTGAAATGATGGATGTTCTAAAAGCTAAAACCATCACCCTCGGATCATTCACTTTCCTTTCTCCTTTCTCAGAGGGAGGAGTCCAGTTAAAGATGGCCGATCTTGCTCCTCCTAAAGAGAAGATTCTCCCGATCCCAGAAGGAAGCGCCTTCTTCTGCCTCAGCAAGACAAACCCGTGAGTGTGTCGACACATGCGCGTGCATCACGCCGTCTAACACCTCTACAGGATGAACAATAACAATCCCACAAATATGTTTGAGTCATGTGTTATTGTTGTTCCCTTTAAGTAATATTTACATAAAGTTAGATTTTCTGGCATCATTTCTAGGAGTTTTTTAGCTTGTTGATGTGGTTATTTTAGACATAATGTGTTTTGCTGTGTGGTTAACTTTACCCAGAGTCTGTGTTCCAGCTTTTGTGATTGAAGTTCTAGTATCCTTCATGCTGGGACGTGAAGCCTCTAACACTAACTCTTTGTCTCCGTCTGCAGTATCCGTGTGGCCTGCCACACTCTGATCCATCACCACATCTTCACCAACCTCATCCTCGTCTTCATCATCCTCAGCAGCTGCTCATTGGCTGCCGAGGATCCAATCAGAGCCCACTCCTTCAGGAACAATGTGAGTCTATATTGTGAGATCTGAAGTTACTCACAGAGGGCTGAGTACCTTTGGGGACACACTTTACCTCTTCATCCAAATTACTGCAGAATTTCTCTTTCTCTTTTAACTCCCATCCAACCTGTGGGGCGTACACACCGACAACATCAGCATCACCTGTTTGATTTTCAGCTTCAAACTTGTGATCCTGTCTGACACCATCTTCACCTCCGCAACACTGTCCTGTCTACACCGTGGTTGATCAGTTTGAATCCACCTCCGATGCTTCTGGCCTCCTGCAAATACAATTTATCTTTTCCTTCTATGAGTCATCAGCCAGCTCTCTCCCTTTATCAATAATAGATCCTACATTTGAAGTCCCTACTCTTACTTCAACACTCCTACCTTGCTTTCTCTCTCGCTGCCTCCTAATATGCCTTCCACCTCTCCTCTTCCTTTGTCTTCAGCCAGTAGTAGCTCAGCATCCATAGTTCTGGACCAATCTGATTCTTGATGATCCCCATTCTTGATTTGGCAAAGATTTTGTTCCCAATACCCCCTCCTGACCTAACATGCCTCCATTATCCAGGCTTGGGACCACCACTAGGATGACTAAAGCCAGCGTACTCTTAGTTCCAGGCCTTCTTGAAACGTATTTATTCTGCCTGTCTGGGTGAAATAAGACAAACCACCATGTCAGCCACCGCACCACTTTCACCATCACCAAGTTACCTGATAGCCAAGCAACCAATCGCAGCAGAGCACAGCATCCCTCCAGCTGATCCAATCCTGTGCCAACCCTCTGTGGTCTGCGCTGGGGGCGGGGCCTCAGCAGATTACACTGCAGAAGTGGGTCAGTGCCTAACCGGGTTAAAGAGGGAAACACATGGAAACACATGGAGGCAGAAAATCACCAGTTCACTGTCAGATCCTGAATACTCACAGTGTGTGTGTGTGTGTGTGTGTGTGTGTGTGTGTGTGTGTGTGTGTGTGTGTGTGTGTGTGTGTGTGTGTGTGTGTGCGCAGACACACAAACTTAAACACTCACATGCAGAGCAGCAGCTGGCTTCATGCAAGAAGTAGCAATTCACAACAGCTGAGGGAGGAAATTACTTCAAACATACAATCAGACCTGCTCATACTGAGCGTTAACCCTGTGTTTGCCTCCTCTGTTCTCTACGAAACTGTGCAAATTATACATTTTGGTTCTATCTTGAATTAATTAACGAGCCTCTCGGCTGCCGTCCTTACGAACAGTGCGCATTTCTCATTGATTGTGTTTTAACCGTCTTCAGCAAACCGAAAATGAGCTCAAGCACTTTGCTTCTGTTTCTGAGCTAAAATGACACCATGAACCTTCTCAAGGACTTTTGAGTTCTGTGTAGATGAGCTAAGGTAGTTAAACATCTTTTTTCTTGATATGCAGACTTCTCCGCTTTAAACTCCCACCATCATAAAACCAGTGACAGGTGTTGGGCTACATGAAGGAACTGAATAGGAAGGAAAGATGAACGTTAATGCACTGAAGGAGGAAAAATGGCAGCACAAGGGTTCAAGTGACTGTTGACGCCCAAAGTGGCACGTGATGGCTGCATGGTATCTGAAACAGCAGGTCCTGTCCAGTGGTTCATACCTACTGTACCAAAAGCAGTTTAAGATGAACAACGAGTAAAACCAGCGATGACCTCAGGAGTTGCTGATGTGTGCAGAGAGCAAAGGGCAAACTGTGCAGTTCGATCCTACAGTAGAGCGACTGTAGCACAGGCTCCACAATAGCAGCCAAACCAAGCTTGAGATGCTGAAAAATCCCACAAGGCAATTGAAAGAAGGATAAAGCCACCACCAACTCATGTATGAAATATGATACACTTGGTTTTACGGGGCAGAGTTGCTGAACTTTCTGCCAAATTAAATTAAAACTTGTTCAGGACTTAGGTCTCTGCTGTGTGCCTCTCTGTCGTCATCTGAGTGAAAACTGAATGTGTCTCATTGAGCTGCTGCTTCAACTGTTTCTTGGACTTTTTTCTTGATTTATTTATTTATTTATTTTATAGAGCAGGATGTTATTATCGCAACCAGAAACTGTTTTGAAAATAATTTAATCTCACAGTTTGCTATCAATATTTTTATCTATTACTTTATTTTGGCTGCCTTTAAGCCTCTAACACAGCAGCTACTTCACCATCCACAGCCTCAGTTACATCACAAAAGCCCACATAAAAATATCTTATTTAAAAGAAAATGCTAAAATGCTAATAAATGAAAAGCAAATGTGTCAGCTGCACCTGCTTTAATCTGCACACGTTATCCTGACTCACTGGTGGAAAGTTATTTCTGGATTCTGAAGAAAAAAATTGAAATGTTGGACCTCAGTCTGGTTTGTTTTCAACCTCTGTGTTCAGATTCTGGGCTATGCAGACTACGCCTTTACCTCCATCTTCACTGTGGAGATTCTGTTAAAGGTAAATATTGCCTTCAGCTCAATGAAATAACTCACCCAGGCCCTCATCTCCCTCTTTTGATTGTCTTGCATTGCCAACATGTTCTCTCATTCACAGATGACGGTCCACGGAGCGTTCCTCCATCAGGGCTCGTTCTGCAGGAACTGGTTTAACTTGTTGGATCTCCTGGTCGTCAGCGTCTCTTTGGTCTCCTTCTTCCTGCAGTCAGTATCCAAACAACATACATTCTGACTTTCCTGTTTGTTTCAGTCTTTGTCTCATGCATGGTTTGCTGTATGTGTTTGGACTGTATTTAAGGACAGAGACTGTTTTGATGTAAGTGTGTTTAAACAAACTGAGGTGTGTAAATGTGTGCGTGTGCCTCTGCAGCTCCAGTGCCATCTCAGTGGTGAAAATCCTCAGGGTCCTCAGGGTGCTCCGACCTCTGAGGGCCATCAACAGGGCCAAAGGACTCAAGGTAACATTACACAGTACAATGATATGTTCACTTAATGTGGGGCGTACAAAAGCCTAGTCAAAGGGGTCAGTGGGGAGTAGCGATGGTACATATTGAGGGTTGTAGGCGTGTACCAGGCATTGTGCTGTGTTATTTTAAAAATACCCCCTGACTTTGTGTTTGTTTGTTTTTGTCGCGCAGCATGTGGTCCAGTGTGTGTTTGTGGCCATCAGGACCATCGGAAACATCATGATTGTCACGACCCTGCTGCAGTTCATGTTCGCCTGTATTGGAGTCCAGCTCTTCAAAGTGAGGCTGAGAACGTCTACTTACACACTGGACACATTTTTGGAAAAACTTCCGAGTATTCTGAGGAGTAAAAGTGTTTCATTGGGCAGAAGGGGAGAAAATAGAGTGTGTTTTATAAATGTACACTGTTTATCAGGACAACACTGACCCTGATTCTGAATTTCCAGAGCCATCAAAGGGCCACCAAAGTAAAGAAAAACAGTCAGATATGGCAAAACAGGAAATGAAACATTTTCACATATTCGATAAACAAACAAACAAAAACAAACCAGAGAAATGGATGTTAAAAAAACCTTCTAAAACATAACCTCAAACACAAAAAAGTATTTATCGTGTGTCCTATATTTACAGTGCATCGAACAATAAAGACACTGTAGCATTATTGCGTTCTGCTCCAAGTCTCTGTTCATATTTTTGAAGTCTTAAAGCTGTGACTAAACGTCAGCACAGTGTTTGTGTTTGTGGTCCAATCTGTGTGTTTTGAATTTCAGGGTAAATTTTACCGCTGCACCGATGAAGCCAAACACACCCCCGAACAGTGCAAGTGAGTTTTCATTATTTAAATTGTTCAAAACTGAAGCCAGCTTGTGTTTTAAATACTGACATTCAACTTCAACAACAATAAACAATCTAATTTTATTTCACTCCGGAGGTAATCCTCTGATTTGTATTCAATTCCAATGATTTATAAAATCTAAGTCTGTATCTTAGAGTTATACTTTGTTTCTGATGTTTAAAGTTGCCACTCAGTTTAGTGCAATTTCATTTTAATTTGATTCTGATTCTAACTATCGATGTCACAACTTGAGATAAGATTTTATGTCTTTTTTGTAAAAACAATACTTGGTTTGCAGCCGAGATGAATATCAATCGTGGCTTCCAGGTCTAAAACGTCGAGCTAGGCTTGAAATGCCTTAAAACAGGGGTGTCGAACTCCAGCCTCGAGGGCCGGTGTCCTGCAGGCTTTAGATCTCACCCTGGGTCAACACACCTGAATCAAATGATTAGTTCATTACCAGGCCTCTGGAGAACTTCATGACATGTTGAGGAGGTCATTTAGCCATTTAAATCAGCTGTGTTGGATCAAGGACACATCTAAAACCTGCAGGACACCGGCTCTGGAGGCCTGGAGTTTGACACCTGTGCCTTAAAACATGCTTTTTTCCCCCTAATGGACAGAAGTTTGGGCTGGAGGGACTTATCTAGTTGCAGAAAGAATTCCGATTGTGTGGAAGAAACGGCCTTGTCTCCTTTCTCTTCAGTGAACACTTTCCTGATGAGTTTGTGGGTTCAGTCACTTTTTGTGAGGTCTTATAAATAAAACATGACTTAATTTTGTACATGATAGTAAAAAGAAAAATTATTCAAGATGTGTTCATTAGAAAACGATTTATCAATCACAAGTCGGTAAGAAATGAGCCTACAGTGTCCTTTGTTTCACAGTCAGATCCTCCCCTCGTACACCAACGCCATTTCAAAACGCCAAAATGGCAGCAGGTCAAACATTCATAACAGGAACGTGGTGATGTCATAGTGGTTGTGTCCATCTTTTATATACAGTGTATTGTTCAGTTTCTTGTTTCCGTGACTCGACTGGACTTGTTTACTCATGTTGGTTGAACATAAGACCGTCACACTGTGTGGCCAAAGGTGAGTCCCCTCAATGGTTGAATGTCAGGTGAATACTCGGTTTGAAGGTTTATGGAATGTTTAGGGCGCCATGTTCACTTCATAATTAAATATCCGGCACATGACTTTAAGTCAGCGTCTTCTGATGAAATGTGATGTGTGTGTTCAGAGGGACCTTCGTGGTGTACAAAGATGGAGACGTGAGCCATCCGATGGTCAGAGAGAGAATCTGGATGAACAGTGACTTTAACTTTGATAACGTCTTGATGGGGATGATGGCGCTCTTCACCGTGTCCACCTTTGAGGGCTGGCCCGCGTGAGTGCTCAGTTTTTGGTTTTTTTTAACTGTTTGTGGGGAACCAACTCTGACATTTTAACCCATCTGTCTTCAGTCTGCTCTACAAAGCCATCGACGCCAACGGCGAGAACTCTGGTCCCATCTACAATTACCGGGTGGAGATTTCCATCTTCTTCATCGTCTATATCATCATCATCGCCTTCTTCATGATGAACATCTTTGTGGGTTTTGTCATCATCACCTTCAGAGAACAGGGAGAGCAAGAATATAAGAACTGTGAGCTGGACAAGAACCAGGTAAACCCAGCTGTCAGTCTGGACCCAAACGAATCAGTGTCACAGTCATCGTATAGGTTAAAAACAATAATGATCAAAGTAAGTACGTTCAAAGGTGTTCAAATCCAAAGGTAACAGGTTGCCATAGTTGATAAATCTAAATTTTTATGTCATTAATAATTTATTTATTTATTCCTTTATTAATTTTGGTTATTTAATGTTTTTAAATATTAATTTTAGAAACTCTTAATCTTGCAAAAAAACATTGTATTTGATTTATCATAAGAATATCAGTTATAGGGTGTTTTTGTTGTTCCATCTTCTGTTTATTTTCTATTTATTTATTTTTATGTTACTTTCACTGTAAACATAGGAGCGGGGTTTCTTATGCAGTTGTTTTAAAAATATATTTTTAATCATCAACAGATTTTGTTCACATCTTGATGAATAAAATATTTCACATAAATTATGGAACAACAGTGAGTTAAAATCACAAGTCGTTGAAGTCATTGAAGTGTTCCCTTAATTTTCTTTTACCAAAGTAATTTTAGTTAAAACTATTTTTTTACAGTCCCAGCATATTTTTTATCATAATTTTGTTTGTTTTTTTGTTTAGCTGCGTTGTTGCAGTACTGTTAATGCTCTCGTGCCCTCTCCAGCGTCAGTGTGTGGAGTACGCTCTGAAGGCTCAGCCGCTGAAGCTTTACATCCCGAAGAATCCGGTTCAGTATAAGTTCTGGTCCATCATCAACTCGACAGGATTTGAATACGTCATGTTTGTCCTGATCCTTCTCAACACCGTCACTCTGGCCATTCAGGTTCGTAATATTTCAGTTTCTTCTCTGTTTTTTTCCTCTTGACTAAAACCTAATCTGTCTAACTTTCCGTGTCTCCTGCAGCACTATGAACAGTCCAAAACCTTCAGCTACATCATGGACATCCTCAACATGGTGTTCACTGGACTCTTCACTTTGGAGATGCTGCTCAAGCTGGCAGCTCTCAGAATAAGGGTGAGGAAACCAAGCGTATCTCTTCAAAGATCTCCATACATCCGCTACACACGGAAAGTCTTCCTGTTAATAACTACATATTCTTGGATATGTTTTCAAAGCTCTTTAGTGTAGATAGTTTTCCTTTTTCTGTTTACCGTGTTATTAAACTCATATGTGACAATTAAGATTAAGGGTTTATATAAACAGAAATGAACTGAGATCAGGGATAATTAGTTTCACTAAATGTTGTTTTGCTTTTTTCCAGCATTACTTTGTTGATGCCTGGAACTCGTTTGATGCTCTGATTGTGGTCGGCAGTGTGGTCGACATCGTTGTCACTGAGTTCAGCGTGAGTATTTGTGACGTTTCTGTCTTGAATTGGATTTAGAACAGTTCTCTTTATTGTATCTCATTATAACTGACACAATAACACAAATTATTATGGTGCCCACTCCCTCTTGCTCTGTGATGCTGTTTCATTTACCCTGCAGCCTGTAATCCTGGTGTGCAAACACTCACCTGACCTGAGGTTAGAGGTGAGATCATGAATGCAATCCTGGTTTGATAAAATGATAACCAGAACTTTAAGCTGGGCAAGCCTTTAACTCTGAATTTATTAAATATTTGCAGCATCAGAGGGGTGACTACAGCAGCAGGGTCCATATGAGCATCCACACAGTGAAAAAACTATGTACAATTTTGCAATAACAACATCATTTATTATATAGAACAATTAATTCTGAGAAAGCAGATCACAGTCTGTAATTTTCTCCACATAGGACATGTGAGCTGTTTTTAATTAAATCATTTGTTTTTCAGCCGCTGTCCTCAGGTTAACTCCTGAGCACTGTTGCAGCTGCTGAAGCATTTTTCTTTTACTGTTAGTAAAAGTCTGACCCATTTACTCAGTGATATTTATCTTTTTATTGTATCATTGCTGTGGCTGTGATTTTTCTCCCATTGTTAACAACAGGTAGCATCAAAAACATGGGTAACTGTAGCGTGACTTGCTGAAGTAATATAAATCGTCCCACTTTAGACAAGTTTCATTGTTTAGAAAATTTAAAATGAATTAATAAAACTACTTGGAAAGTGGTGCAGCAGATTTGGGTTGAATACTTTGTGTTGGGGGACTTGACAGAAGTGTTGTTTTTCCTTTCAGATGTTCAAGACTCCTCTTCCTTTGAAACTACTTTAAATGCAGGTCAAATTAACTTCACCCTTTTGTGCAGCTTTCAGCTCAGCCTGGAGGATCCTGCAGCTCTAAAACAACAGCCAGTCGTTTTTTGTGTGAGTGTATTAACACATGTTTTTATCACATCTGCAAACTTTTCTGTGTTTTCAGAGTGGAGAGGACAGCTCCAGGGTGTCTATCACCTTCTTCCGGCTGTTTCGAGTAATGCGATTGGTCAAGCTGCTGAGTAAAGGGGAGGGCATTCGTACACTCCTGTGGACTTTCATCAAATCGCTGCAGGTAAGCGAGGACGTTGTCTGGAAAGAAGATGTGGCATTTCTTAATGGCCACAAGGTCAATCTGCATCGAGTTCTGGCTGAAGTCTGGCTTAATGGTGGTTTAAAGCTCTTGTTTCTTTAATGTTGCCCATTGTTCAGTAGCCACAGCTCCCATCTTATATTTTATAATGCAGTGTTTTGTTGCAGTTCTGCTGCCTTGTTCAGCAAAGAGACTCTAATTTGTTCCTGTCTCTCTGCAGGCTTTGCCATACGTTGCTCTACTTATTGCCATGATCTTCTTCATCTACGCTGTCATCGGCATGCAGGTAAGTTTACACACAGTAAACCTGCAGGGTCATTCTGACTTAATTTATTTATATCAAACATTTTACAACACTAAAAAAAATCTTTGAACAGTTTGTTTTGCCCACTTGAATCTGATTTGGTCAACTTTAATTCTTTGTGCCTTTACTTCAGTTGTTAGTGTCTCCTTGCAAAATCTCTGTGGGTGTCAACCCCTTTAAGTTAGGAAAGAAATTGAAGTTAAATATTTTGTAAATTGGCCGCTCATTTCAATCCAAACAGTCACCGTTAACAACACTGGAAGGCTGTCACAATAAGGACATGCTAAAGCTGCTGACTTTTTTCTTCTGCTCGTCTCCATTTGTCAGACATTTGGGAAGATAGCGATGCAGGATTACACTCAGATCAACAGAAACAACAACTTCCAGACATTTCCTCAGGCTGTTCTCCTCCTCTTCAGGTCAGATGCTCCTCCTGCTGCTTTTATGTCTGTGTAGATTCTTGAGTGCTTGTATTTTTGGCTTGTGAAGAAATTTCACCTCTCATCTAAGAGGCTTCTTCTTAAGCTGCTAATGTTGAGCCCGAGCTATTTAGCCCCTAGTGCGGTTGCCATTTTGGAGCTTGTACTGAGTCTTTCACCCACTATTAATCCCACTATTACTCATGTGAGCTGTGAAGGGTCCCATGAGCCAAGGTGTGAAGCAAACTGTGGGCCAATACTGTCACACTGGCCAGGGTTTGAATTCTCTGAGTCATTGTCTCGTCCTACTATTATGTGGGATGTTGAGGTCAGGTGACTGCATCGCCTGGGAAGGGACTGCAAGACTGTATTATAGATGGCTGATAGATGGTGCCATAAGACACCACCTCTGGTCCCACCACTGTTGCCTCACAGCAAGAAGGTCCTAAGTTCAATTCCACCATCAGGCCGGGTCTTTCTGGAGTTTGCATGTTCTTCCTGTGTTTGCGTGGTTTCTCCCCGGGTAGTCTGACTTCTTCCCACATTCCAACGACATGCAGTTAGTGGGGTTAGGTTAACTCTAAATTACCACAGGTGTGAACGTGAGTGTGAATGGTTGTCTGTCACTGTGTTAGCCCTACAACAGACTGGTGACCTGGTACACCAGGGTGTACCCTGCCTCTCGCCCTAAGAGAGCTGGGATAGGGTCCAGTCCCCCCACAACCCTGACAAGGATAAGCAGAAGAGAATGGATCGATGTTATTCTGCTTCTCCGTGGTTGTTGTCTGAGGTTCTTCACTGAATGCACAGGAAAGCCTCGTGCATAAGAGGTGAAACATCACGAACCAAAAAGAAGTCCAGTACCTTCATTTCAAGTGCTCAAGAGTGCTCAAGTCTGTTTTCATTCTTTCAAAAACTCGCTAAATCACCCCTGGTGTCCCACAGGGATCTACTCTGGGTCCTTTGCTTCTTTCAGATTTTCTAAGCACCAGCAGTTCTCCCACGGCAGGACTGAGAATTTATTATTTTCAAGTTTTTTTGTGTGTGTTTGTGCAGGTGTGCTACCGGTGAGGCGTGGCAGGAGATCATGTTAGCCAGTCTTCCAGGTAAACGCTGCGACCCCGAGTCAGACTACGAACCAGGGGAGGAGTTCAGCTGCGGCAGCAACTTCGCCATTGTTTATTTCATCAGCTTCTTTATGCTGTGTGCTTTCCTGGTCAGGACACACACTCACACACATTTTTTAATCACACATATCTTTAATGAAATTCTGACATAATAGTTAATCAGAAGGAAAATATGAGCAGACTGCTGATGCACATAGGAGCACAAATATTAGAGACACTTTTGACTTTGATTTAGATAATAAGTTATTTTATTCACGGCTGACATTTCTAAACACTGAACATTATTAGCTGCATGAAGACAGATGTTCAAGGTGTGCTTAATAAAGTGGCAATTGAGTATATATATGTGCATTTAAAATGTAACTAAATACCTTTGAATATACTTGTTTCTTCTGCTTCAGATTATCAACCTGTTTGTTGCTGTCATTATGGACAACTTTGACTACCTGACACGTGATTGGTCGATTCTGGGGCCACATCATTTGGATGAGTTCAAGAGGATCTGGTCAGAATATGATCCAGAGGCCAAGTAAGATGATCCGTGGTCCACATATACCCAGGATAATTTAGTGTTTTTTTCTTCATGTTTTTAATTTATTTTTTATTTTTTATTTTAGCTTTAGTTAATAATAATTCCTTTGGTGAGAATAGAAACTCCTGCTCCTGCTAAAACACCTGGTTAAATAACTAGTTGTCCAGACACACACACACAGATCCCTCGATTACACTCCATAAAATGTCTTTTTCTCAAATGCAGTATATACTCTGTCATATATTTTTCTGTATCAGACGCACAAAACATATAAAAGTTTTCATGTGATTTAAATTTCATAGCAGTCAAGCAAATTGAAACTGGAAAGATAATAAATTGAGCTGGGATTTAATCTGCAGCCATGCTCTGGGCTCACTACCCTGCAGTTTCATCTAACTTTTTGATGTTGGGGAGAAAAGTGGATTATTTTTTTCCAGTGTTCATTGACCTAAATCAGGAGGAAAAGTGAATAAAGTTCCAGGTGGAGAGATGATCATAAAATTCCTGATTGTTCTTTGTTCTCAGAGGTCGGATAAAACACCTGGACGTTGTTGCTATGCTGAGAAGGATTCAGCCTCCTCTGGGTTTTGGGAAGCTTTGTCCTCACAGAGTTGCCTGCAAGGTAAAATAGTCACACACTGTGTGCTGTAGCTGCTGTTCAAAAGGTTATAAGCTTGGATTCAAGAGACTTAATTTAACTGGGAGCTATTTTTAACCATCTCAGCGTCTGGTAGCGATGAACATGCCTCTGAATGCTGATGGGATGGTGACCTTCAACGCCACGTTATTTGCTCTGGTTCGCACTGCCCTTAAAATCAAGACCGAAGGTATGTGATATGTCTTTACAGGAGCTGCTATAAACACACAGGAGTGATCCTGGACAAATTAAAGACTTCAGGAAATCATGGCTCCTCTTTCCTTTTCTGCCACAGCATTAAAAGGTTGCCATTATTCAGGAAAACCTTTAGGTTTTATAGCTTTACTATCTGCAAATCCATACTGGACAGCTACTAATGCATTTATAAACTAGCAGCAGCTAAGAGGGAGTCAGAAACTTCTCTGTAACTGATAATCAAATTTATAACATAAATCAGAGACTCATCTGCATATAAACTTACATAAATCTTTCTGGAATGTGACAATAAACCAAACAGACACAGATCTGAATCATTGTGTCGCAGTTTAGGCATTGTGACAGCAAAACTTCATCTCTCTATGGACTAATTCAAAGTTGCAGAAGCTGTTTGCTTTGCAGACTAAATTAAATAAATGAAAGTGTATCTTCATAAAGGATGCTGTTATGCAGTAATTTTAAATAGTGAAATTGATTTATTGGTCATCTTTTAGCTTCTCTGTTCTCTCTGTTTATTGAGTTCTTAATCATTGAATCAATACAAAAATAGAAATGAGTCCCTGTTAATAAGCCACAAGCCTGTAAACACAGTAGCCTAGCCATAACTTTTATCGGATTTACCTCTTGCCAGGTATCCCTGAGCAGGAGAACGAAGAGCTGAGGGTGATCATCAAGAAGATCTGGAAGAGAATGAAGCCAAAACTTTTGGACGAAGTCATACCGCCACATGAAGGTACTCTTGCTGCTCACACGACGAGGTAGTACTGTTACTGCAAGTCTCAGCAGGAGTACTGCAGACTGAACTCTCTCTTCTCCATCCACAGAGGAGGAAGTAACTGTTGGGAAGTTTTATGCCACTTTCCTCATCCAAGACTACTTCAGGAAGTTCAGGAGGAGGAAAGAAAAGGGAGATCTGACCGGAGAGAACGACTCACCCAACCAGTCTGCTGTCCAGGTCTGTCTGTTTATTTACTGACAAAAGACTGCAAAGCGGCAAGATGCAGACCAACAGTATCAGGCCATATAAGACAGGCAGCAGTAACCCAACATGTTTTTGTTCTTTTTTAATGACTGAAGAAACCAAAGCTCCAAACAACAGAGTTTAAATGTCCTGGGGTCTTGTTTGTGAGTAATGTGAAGGTAAAGCATGAGATTAACCCAAGAGTTTGTGATGTTCATTTCCTGCTGAAGAGAGCGCTGAACTGGAGGGCAAAGTTTCCAGTTTAACAGTTGATCTGCATCCCAGCACTGACCTACCATCATGAGATGTGGGTAGTTAAAAAAATAACGCTGAGGATAAAAGTGGCTGAAATGAGTTTCGTGTGTAGGGTGGCTCGGTCAACTTTAGAGATGAGGTGAGGAGCTAAGACATCCATAGGTAGCTTGGAATATAATTGCTGCTCCTTGAAATAGAAAGAACCCAGTTGAGGTGATTAGATTAAATGAAACTTTATTAATCCCTCGGGTGGGTTCCTCCGGGAAATTCAGTAAATTCAGGTGGTGCGAGTATCTGATAAAAATTCCTCTTGGACATCTTTGGAGGTTTTCCAGACATGCCCAACTTGGTGGAGACACTTGAGAAGACCCAGAGGTCGCCCGAGAGATTATATAGCTCCTCTAAGCCTGGGAGCACCTCAGGAAGATCTTGAAAATGTTGCTGGGGAAAGCACATCTGCAATACCTGTTTCGCTTGCTAACACAATTTGGAATAATTACACGATGATGGATGGATGGGAAAGCTCCAAGAGAAAATTTAGATACAGGGTCCATGGATGAAGCTGAGGTCTGTACCAGTCTTGTTTTTGTTTGTTTATATTTTATCCTTCATCTCTGTTCTCCCATCACCTGAGGAGTGCTCAGAGTCACTCATTAATTCGGTCGTCAGTTGTGATGCTTTTGAGAAAGAGCTCTTAAACTGAATTAGAGTCCAACCAAAGCTTGAAGATGCCTTTAGGAAAGAAACTGGGATGTGTATTTGTGTATGATGCTGTTACAACAAGTATGTCTTCATGCATTTTTTTTTTGTGTTTCCGTGTAGCTCTGTAAAGCTGGTCTGAAGACTCTGCAGGATCTGGGTCCAGAGATGCGCCTGGCTCTGAACGAAGACCTGGAGGAGGAGGAGGAGGCCATGATGGAGGACGAGGAGATGGAGGAGAATGCTGCATATAAGGTCTTTATTCAGATTTACACACTTAAGCGTCTGACAAACTTCTCAACTTTTTCTTTTTAGAAAATACTTGAATGGGCCTTTAAAAGAGATTAAGTTTGTATTTTGTCTGCAGGCTGAAAATGGTTATGCAGAGAAAGATCGACGTGGCTCTTTACTGACACCTACTGGTAAATGACCAGTTAATTCGTTATCATCAGGCTGCATCATGTAACAACACAAAAGGATTTAAAATGTAAATGAGGAAAACAGTTGTGATTACATGACACTTAGTGTGTCCACCTCACCTTCTTTTGCAGGTCAGGGCGGTGTTGTGGGTGACGGCAGCGTCTCTAACGGAGGTCTGATACACCGGGTCGGGTCTCTCACCAAGATGGCAAACGGCAGCGATCACGACGAACATCTTCGCTGGGGAGACAGCGTGAGGTCATCCATTAATCGACATCCCTACCGCCGCTCATCCGTGAAGAACGGCCTGCTGGACCACGGCCACAAAAGACCGTCATACTCCAAACGAAGGTAGGCGGTCACACAACGGAAACCACTAAGGAAACGTGGCATTTACAGGTGTGACAGCCAATTACAGTCTCCCGCCCCCCCCTCCAGGTGGTGGCAGCCCCAGCCCCTTACAGATCAATAAGAAACCCTTTAGAGAGAAATTGAGATCAGTTTTCCTTCAGGTGTCGTCTGTCACTGCTTGGTCACTGCTGCACTCTCAACTGGCTCATGCAAGCAAGACTACAAATTTACCATATTGGCTTTCTCCTGTGGGTTGTGACCTCCTCACCTCTCTCATCGTTTAACTTTGCACACTCCCACTGAGGTCTGCTGAGCAGATGCTCCTAACCTGACCTAAGGTCCACATTATAGCTCACAGAGCTGACGGAGTCTTTATGGCAAAAGCCCCTACATAGTGGAATAAACTGCACCTTCCCTTCAGGACCTCAACAAAACCAAAAGGTTTTAACCCATTTTTATGCCTCAGCTGTAAAAGGCTGATGGCATGTTGTCATCACTGCGCGGGGCAGCGTGGACACCCAGCTGCGTGAACACGAGAATGAGGCGACGTAGGATTTTCAAACTGATACCATAAGTGCACTTTAAGTGTGACGTTGAGGTCAGAGGTCAGGTTTTCTGAAGATCTTGTGAAGGCAATAACTCAAGAAGGAGGTGAGGGGTAGTACTGGCAGCCATCAGTATCTTTATTTATTCTGGCTGCTTTCTACTTCTATGGTTTTACTCTTTTTGTGTATTTTAATATGTTGTGTTGCTCTAATGTTATCTCATTTTATTCTATGAGCTGTACAGTTAAATGTTTTTAATGATGCTTCTAAATAACCTGACTTAATTTGACACTTTCTGTGACCTGTAGAAGGGACTCACGGGACAGATTGTGGAGGAACGGAGACATGGAGGCTTGTGGCGAGCAGGGTTACTACAGCAGAGAAGAAGACAATGACAGCATCACCTCCAGAGAAAGGTACATGTTAGCTTTGATGTCACCCTCAGAGGCGACTGACATTTCTGGAGGGCACACATCGACATAGTGTTAGACCGATTCATTTTCCTTTGTGTGTTTGCAGACATTATCCTGATGAGCCTCCTCTGTACAGAGACCATTATGATGGCCACGCCTCCTATACCAACAGTAGCTATGGTAATGGCTACAGCGAGGGGAGGAGGACGACCAGAAGACGCCTACTTCCTGCCACACCCACAGGTGACACGATGTCCCAGAATCCTCTCTGCAGCGTACCTGCATCATCACACCTCATATGAGTTTTTTGTTTATCAGGTCGGAAGCCGTCGTTTAACATCCAGTGCCTGAGGAGGCAGGGCAGCAGCGACGACCTACCGATCCCCGGGACCTACCACCCGACATCGCCGCCGCGTCGCACGTGCACACAGGTAAAACACACAGCAAGCACACACACACACAAATCTCTCTTCTTCAGTGAAATCAAACACTCTCCTCTCCTCAGCAAACGTTCAACAGCTTCGAATCTCGTCACTCCTCCGGTCGCTCCATGGCGGCCTCCTCGGCATCCTGGGCGAACCCTTGCCCTCGCCGCGGTCGCCTCCTCTATGCTCCTCTAATCCTGGTGGAGGAGGAAGGAAGCCCACCCTGGGGAGGAGGAGGAGGACCTGCGGGTGAAATAAAGAAGGCAGGAGCAGGAAGAGGTGAGGACACCACATTTTTGTTGATTTTAGCCGCACTGTAAACGTGTTCCTGTGGTTTAAAGTCGCACCTTTCTCATCCATCAGGTGTCAGCGTGACAGGTGCGGCACCCAGACCAGCCTGGTACGGCGGCCCTGCAGGGGCATCAGGTAAGAGGGACGAACAAATGCACACTAAGATAGTTTTTACACACAAACTCTAGACAGTGTTGCGGCATCAGGTTGAATTTCAGAAATCAGTTGAACTTGAAAATGTATCCTCCTCCTCTTTTTTAATTAGGCAGTGAAAACTGTTATTCTGGCAGTAACCGCAGACAGCCTCTGGGAGAAAGATGCAGTTAGCAGGTCAGCAAAGCATAAACTGACAGCAGCTCTGGCACAGTTACAGGCCTGCCTCCTGTGCAGGGCCTGAATGCTAATGCTGCTGGCCCAAGTTCAGAGGACACATAGTGGTGGAGCAGCGGAGGACCAGAGTGGGCACAGAGGGAAACCGTCTGTGCCCTTTGATATCATTTGTGGAGGGAAAAGGTGCATCAAAATTTTAAGATTATTTGACACTACACGTAGACCCCTGACAAAAAGAACTGCCTCTTTTTGTCATTTTTAAGGATATTACAAAATTTACCGACTTGATCAATAACGTTTCTCTAAAGAACGCTCACATGTACAGCAGGTTGCACAGGTGTATCTGCTGTGCTGTAACTGCAGAGATGTAACATCCAAAGTTAGTGCTGTAGTTAGATTCTTTGTGCGTTTGTGCCATCAAACTGTGTGCATACTCTTGGGTAGGGAGCAGGCCTCCAGGCCAGTTTGTGTCCACGGCCTGTGGTCACGCTCCGTGTCTGAATGTGTCACGTGATTGTGTTGCAGCTCCGCCCCCATACAGGGCGTACACAACCCTCAGAGTCCCCTCTCACCTTGGAGCACCGTTCACTGAGAAAAGAGGGTCAGCTGACAGTCTGGTGGAGGCGGTAAGAACTGACTGCTGATTGATCTCTGATCAGTTTCTGTGTCCAGAATCAGCGATTTATCCCGGTTGTGTTAATCTCCCCGCAGGTTCTGATCTCAGAGGGCCTCGGTCTTTACGCTCGAGATCCAAAGTTTGTGGCATTTGCGAAGAGGGAGATCGCTGACGCGTGCCACATGACAGTGGATGAGATGGAGTCGGCTGCCAGCGACCTTCTTGGCTCAGGGAGCCACAGCTTTCTCAGCAACGCTGCCAGCGACCAAGCTGCGCTCTATAGCGATGAGGAGCCAATCAGGACAGGCCATGACGAGGATGAGCTGGCTGATGAGATGACCTGTGTGACATCATTCTGAGGCTCTGGACCAATCAGGATAAAGATGGAGATGGGACATCTGCAATCAGCAGGAGCCATGTTTAGAATGTGACTTCCAGGACATCAAACCAGTTAGAGGAAGGAGTCGGGGAGTAGTTAATTTAAAGTTTTGATGAATGAGGAGAGATCGAGGTCTCTGTTGAGGGATGGATGAAGAGGATGGAGGGATCAGGAGAAGGAATGAAATCAAGGGAGAAGGAAGAAAATAAAAAAGGATGGAAATCTGGATACAAAGGACAAATGGAAGAAGGGAAGGAAGAACAAATGTTAAGAAAGGGTTAAAAATGTCACAAGTTAGGAAAACAATGAAAGCAAGTGGGAAAATAGAAAAAGAAGGATGAGATGAGAAACAAAGAGGGTTTTTTTAAAAAAGAAAATGTTGACTTGAGAGGCGACTCCTGCCAACACTCAAGTCACTGACTAGCTGAGGGGCAGGAGGGCCTAGGCAGACAACACAGCAGCTTCCGGTGACTCCGGGAATTTTTTGGTGGCCTTTTCAGAGACAAAGTCTCTCTAAAGGTTTAAAAGGTTAAACAGGTTTACTCCAGTTCACTCTGCATCAATTCAGATGTGTGCCAGTGACTCAAACAACAAAGTAGAAATAAAACTTTTCACTTTTGGAACGTGTTTGTCCAAAACGTCGCCGCCAGCTCAAAGTGATCCAATGCCAGCGAGCATGGAAAATATGTATTGCTGTTAAAATGTGCTGTAGTAAAATGAGAGGAAACCAAACACAAGTCCTGATATTATACTTATTACATATTGTTTCAATGACTGCAGGCAGTTTTTCACATGACAGTTGGAGTGGTGTGCGATGTAGAGCCATAGACTGTAAATGAAAGACGAACAGAGCCTCAATGACATCGTCCACTTGCCTTGAAGCAAGCCAAGCAGAGCATTAATGACTACCCTGTTGCAATATCATTTTTTACTTTAAACCCATCAGGAACGTATGTAATGATAATTTAAGAGAGCCATAGGGTAATACTTCTATACCCTGGTGGACATTAGAAGGATAAAATTTGAATATGATACAATTTTAGTGACATAACACGAATACATTTTTAAAATGTTTTTTATCAGACTTAAATGCTATTTTAACTAAATTGTGAGTAAACTAGCAAAAGAGAATATAAATGAATGTTAATAATATAATTTTTACTATTATTTTATCACAAAGGTTTTAGCTATTGACAACTGCAAGGCACCTCGGCATTTTATGTTACATTTAGACACAGAAAATACACAAAAGGTTTTGAGTTCAGATACATTTAATACCATAGTTAACCAGCTGATTAAGAATTAGCATTATGCTGTTGTTAGCCTAAAATGCAAACTGGAACTTCTGATAAAAAATTGGCATGTAATACTTTGTCAGACACTAAATTATACAACCACTATCATGTATACTTACTATATACTTATAAAACTCTATAATACATGTCATAATTTAATAAAGATTAGCAAGTTGCTGGGTAGCTAAGCTAAGTGCTGACTTCTGCTAACCACTAACGGTTGCGTACAGATTTAGTTTAGCGCTAGCTAATACTCAGTACCTTTGCTTGTCTTTACTTTCTGTCTTTAGTTTATGTTATATAATGTCACAGTCAGATAAAGTTTAATCCGTGTAACTTCACGGATATCTTTAAACAACAGACACACCAAACAATTAGCGGCAGTACAGTTCACCAGCACTGGTGCTGCCCCGCTTAAGGCTTAAGGCACTTAAAAATGGCCAGTATTGATAAAGCTACTCTAATGCAGTCTCTGAATAAAGCCGATGAGCTGGTAATGAGAAGGCAAGGTTTATGCAGTAACACAATAATGCTAATAAAAATAAAGCAACTGAAGCAAATGAATACGAGCTAGCTGTGTTCCCATCTTGTTAGCAGATGATTTAATCATTTGAATGATGGCAGAAAGAAGAGGTTAACGTATAACTGGATAAATCTTTTAACGTTTTGCTGAAATTGTTGATCAAAAAAGTTCTCGTGGCAGAATAATTTTTTCTTCAGAAGATGCAGAAATAAAAACATTGTTTTCTTCCATAGCATTTATTTATTTTTCCAAGTGCTCATGTCAAAACTCCAGCTATATGTCAGTGTAATTAATAATCCATTTGTATGTTTTTGTAAACATGAATTTAAAAAAAGAGGAATTGAAGTAAAATTATAAATATGGAAGAATTAAGGGGAAAAAGTTTAAAATTTAATGTGTCAAAGTCAAAGGAGAGGTATCCTTGAACTTCCATTGATAGGTTTGTGCAGTGAGTAAGGAAAATGTGACTGAGGCTGGGAACGAGACGCTTGTGATGAAGAAGCATAAATAAGTGGAGCGTAAGCTGAGCTTCATTTAGTTTTCACAGTCACAGGTTTTCTATCAGGACTGTTGATGTGTTTGATGTTGCTGTTGAAGGATGTGCTCTGTGATTCGTACAGCTGTGGGGAACATTTTATTTCTCATGTTTCATTAACGTGTTTTAATGAAAGTCTTATCTACACACGAAGACCTGAAAAGACTTTGCTTTTGTTTGTTTTTTTATTTGTCAGGAGTGTGTTTGTTTGATGTATTCAGCTTTTCTTATTTCAGATGTTTGATATTTTTTATTGACTTTCACAGAAAGGACGGGATTTCCGTTTCATTCGTGCCGGCCAGCGGTCCAGTGGTGTTTATGTCTCTTCTGAACTTTTGTGTTTTCGTCTTTTTCTCTTTTTTTTTCCATTCTTTTTTCTTTCCAACAGTTTGCACAGTTTCCCAGCAGTTAAGGGCTTTTAATTCCACACCTGGATTTTCTCCTCACAGCGCCCTCAGACATTAAACTACCATGTTCAGCTGAGAAACAGCTCTGTCTGAACCTTCATTTACCTCAAATAAAGACTGAAAACAACCTACTTCCGGACTCTTCTGTGTTAATATTCATACCCAGTGCACAATACT